ATTCACTTGATATCCAAAAAAACTATTTTGACCTTGAGAAGATAACAAATAACTACTTAGTCCCGAAGTACTATTATCTTACTACCGTCGGTGCATTGATATATCTTGCTAATAATACTCGACTCGGTATAATCTTTTTTATAAGTTTATTAGCAAGTCATAGTTCTACTCCAATATGGAGATTGGAATGGAATTAAACATCTCCTACATTATTTTCGAGAAAAATTTGATATAATATTTATTTTACTCAAATAAATCAAAGTCGAGTTTAATTGATTATGCAGATGCATGTTGTTTATCCGATCTAAACAAAACTCGATTACAAACGGGTTATGTATTTACACTTGGTGATACAATTATATCATGACATTCTATGAAGGAAACTATAACTACTAAATATACAAACCATGCAAAAATACCAATTCATGATGCAAGTCGAGAATGTGTTTGGCTAAGATCAACGATCCATCATATCCAAGAGACATCTAGTTTATCTACCAACAAAAGAAGCTCCGATAATATCACGTGAAGATAATGTTGCTTGCATAATTTCATTAAAGGAAGAATTTGATCCAATGACAATCTAGTAGATTTTTTCATTAAGGCATTACTTACCACAACTTTTGAAAAGATAATTCACAAGATTGAAATACATCATTTTAAAGATCTCAAATAATATTTTCAATAGGGGAGGCCAAAACCCAACATTGAGATTAATGTGTACAATGAATATTGTACTTTTTTTCATTCACTAAGATTTTTTCTCATTAGATTTTTTTCTAGTAAAGTTTTAACGAGACATGTTCCTTGTCCGATGAGCATTCAAAGGGAGTGTTATGAAATAATGAATGTTCGTGATTATTTCATATTCCAACTACCCATTATTCTTAATGTGATTCAAATTTTTATTCAATATGAGAAATTGAAAAAGGTGATACAATTCATGCATCTTTTAATAGTTTATAATCCCTTTCAAGTCTCTCTTTAATCTTGAAGTCTATAAATAGGCTTGATTGTTCATTAGTTGATATATAATCATTTGGTAGAGATTAAGAGAATTGTTTGAACTTGTTATCTTTTTTTATTCTTTTCATTTTATAGTGAAATCATTTTTTCATCATTTTTCTTTCCAATTCTATGATTGTTGTATTTTTTTATAACAATACATCATTTTTAATAAAAATAGATATTGACTAATGGGTTATAATTTTATTTTATACATAAATATCTTATTTTTTCTCATTCATTTTAATGTGAAATATTTATTATTCCCTGGTGCGTGGACTTGGCACCGCCACTATTTATTAGAGACAAGGGACCACTGTCTAATGATGCGAATGGCGAAGCAATTTAATGGTAGACTATTTTATGACAGAGAGCGAAAGCACAGAGCTGGCTGGTACGGCTTTTGATGTATTTACATTTGATTGTACAGGTTAAGGTGGTCTTTTAGGTGTTATTGGGTTCGAATTTGGATGAGGACAACCGAGTGCCGACCAAGAGCATAGAGAACGGTATTGAAAATTTAGAGGTGCATAATGTGTTAATATTTTTAAAATAGGCCGACAGGTGAGCTTGCGGGCATGTAAGAGGAGGATTGGTCAAAGAAGCAAAATTATTTTCACTTTCTCTGTTCCTTATTTTTGACCTTTGTTAGCAAAGGGGAAGAGACAGAAGGCTAGTTTTTAGCTTTCCTAGTTTTTCTTTGAAAAAAAACAAGACTAACCCCTCGATTACTGTTAATTCTACGAAGCCTGCAATTTTCAGTCACTGCTAACTAATATCAGTATGTCCGGGCCTGCGCATTAATTAACTTAGAATATATACTGCATAAATAATATCTGGACAAGTGATGGGGAAGATAAAGCAAACGGCTAACAAGATGGTAATGTTGGCTAGGATCGTCACTAAGGGGACTAGAATCAGAATAAGTTTATGGTGACGAGCCATGGTTGGCGAGGATGGTTAGCAACCAGTCAAGCCACATCCGGTTAAGATATCAAGAGCATACTTGCATTGACAAACACAATCCTTCAATATACATGTTAAACATCATTTGAAATGGTTGAGACTTTGTAAATCCAACGGGAAAAAAGTTTTAATTTAAGACTCAAATGTAGATTTTCCTAAGAACATATCATCTTTATATACAATAACATAATAGAATTCCTAATTGATATTTGAACATTAAAATTAAATTAAAGAATAAAGAAAAAAAAGGTAATGATTGATGAAAAAAAGAGGTAATGATTGATGAACAAAAATCAGTTGTTCAAATCCATACTATATAATAATAAAAGATGGATTTTGGATAAATGATACGTGGTTTACATCTTATGATTTCTTTTATATAAAAAATAGTAATTGAAAAATAAACGAGCAATAATAAGAATTAAATCAAGCTGGATAATCACTTTAGAAACTAAAATAATATTAATAAATATCAAACAAATAAATTGATTCTACATAATTAACCAAGCTTAGAAAATAATACTTATATTAAACAAATATCAAGAAAAATATATATTTACAACATTAATAAATAATAATTTTAATATCTTTGTTGACAAAAATGATTTAAAAATAAAATGAGTTATTTGCACTAAATTATTTATCCATTTATGTAAAATATAAATAAAATAAAATAAAATGATAAACCAAGACCTTAACATATATAGGTAACAAGAACAAAATAGAATCTTAACCAAATACTAGTTAAAATTGTAAGCAAAGGCAAGGTTAGCCAAACCAAGGGTAAGGACAATAACAAATAACTAAAGGCAAGGTTAGTGTTTATAAAGATGGGCAGCTAGCCATGCCAATAGCATGCAAGTTGCAACGTCATGTCAGTCTTGAGTCTTGGTGATATCATGTAAAATGGGTCCTAGTGTTCCCAGCCAGAGTACATCAGTTCGCGCAACTATTATAACCATCTCCATAATTCGCCTAGAAGACTAGTCAAGAGGATCTTTAAATTGATGTGTAAATCATTGAAGCATTGGATTGACGAGGGGCGTTACAACGTGAGTCACCTTGTGCACGTGAAGAAGAGACCCTTAAGATTGCAGTGTTTATTTCTTAGTATTCTACTAATCACTTGCCTACGTTTCCTGCAGATTCAATATAAAAAATCATTTTAAAATTTTAAATTTTTTTAATTATAATTTTTTATTCACTTAAATTTTTTTATTTTTATTTTTAAATTTTCTGCTTAAAAAAATTATTTTTCTTTATGAATTGATTTTAAAATGAAAAAAATATAATAATTTTACCTAAAATATTAATCGAGAATTAAAAAAATTTTAAAATATAATTTTCATAATATTGTATTCCAAAACATAAAGTTGAAATTAATGGATAGATTTTTACAAAAATTAACAAATGAGAAAAAAAATTCTTATTTAATGTTGATGAGAAGATTAATTTTTGAAATTATCCGCGTAACGCCACGAGTAGATAGAACAAAATCATTTAAAAATTTTTCATTAATTTTTTATTTAATTATTACAATTTTTTGTATTTTTCATAAAATTTCTGCTTAAAAAACATGATTTATTATTATTTTTTTTAATTCGAGAATTCTTAAATGAAAACTTGTAATAATTTAAACCTTAAATATTAATCAAGAATTCAAAAGAAAATACTTTAACACTATATATATATATATATATATATATATATATTATAATAATGTATCACAAAAATAAAGTTACAATTAATGTATAGATTTGCATAAAAATTAAAGAATGAAAAAATAAAATTTTATTCTTATTTAATATTGGTGAGAAGATTTTTTTTTTTTTCAAGTATATGCATTAGATCTATATATATTTATTTACAAAATGATCAATACAATTAGCATAAAAAACTGTATTTGAATAATTAGTTGGTTCCTTTAAAATATTATTTTAATTTTTTTATTTCAAATAAATTGGTTCTATAATGTTAAAAAAAATATTCATAGTAAATAATTTGTATTATGTTGGAAGATATGTAGTTAATTTGAAATAAAATCAACTATTCAATATTTTTTTTTTATACGTTTTGACCATATCTATTGAACCGAGACAAATTATTTGAAATACACTTTTAACGTTTTAGAATAAAATAATTATATATTTATATATACATAACTATCATTTAAAAATTATAAGAATTCATGATATATATTATAATAATTTATTTTAAAAAAAACAATTATGTTTTAAAATTTTATTCTAAAATTCAAACATAAAGAAAAATAAATTATATTTATCGATAAATAAAATCTTTTATAAAAAATACCAATTGGATGAGAATTTTCATAAGAAATGCTAAATTCAAGGAATGAAATTTAAATTATAAGAGTAATATAAGTTGAAGTATATGTTAATTTTAAAATATAAAAAGATAATATATATATATATATCTAAAAGTACTTTTTAGATAATTTATCTTAGATTTTTTTTTTTTTTTGAAAAACAATGATAAAAAAAAGTTTTTAGTTTAGAGTCCATGAACTTTGGATTTTTATTACAAGCTATCGATTAAGAATCTGGATATAAAAGAATAAATTATGTTTTTTTTAACGGAAAATTTATAAAAAAAATATAATAAATATTTTGTTTAGCACATAATTAAAAAAATATATTTTTTTGTACCTTTTATTTAATATATTTTAATAACCAATAATAAAACACATACCATCAAATTAAAATTATTTTTTAAAATAAAATTTTATAAGTTTGTCCTAACCCACAACACAACGTGGGTAAAAAACTAGTTGTCTACTATTTAAGCTAAGGATTGGAAAAACTCTAGGGTAACTTTTGCAATATTTATATGCGGACTTGTTTACAAAATTTGGGTTATCTAAATTCTTTGTTTTTCTAGTTCCAAAACAAAGCTTAATAGAGGGTGATGTATTTTGTTATTCAATCATGCTAAGCTTCCTATAGAAGCTTTATCTTGCTTACTCGTTGTGTCGGTTAGTATTAGAGCAAGGTCGCTCACATATTCTAATGGAAAGTGCCCTAGTTACAATAGGCGGTAATCCTGTAGGGCGAAGGAGGGTTGAGATCCCGCATTTTGGGTTGGCATTGATGACTTTAGAGCAACAAATTGATTGCAAATTCCAATGTTTAGAAGGGCATTTTAAAGAGATCGTGGATCGACTAGATGCTTTAGGCATAGATGCCAACAGGAACCGTAATGATGACAAGCAATATACCGAAGAAGATGCCTCTTGTGGATAGCCTATCAATAAACCTACTTGTGGGGTTCACAAACGTAGGCAATAATTTTACAAGGATGATTCGGATGAAGACGAGTGTTTTGATGAACCTATGTTGAGGCGTGCCGACCAAGGGAGGTGTGATTATGAAGATAGAGAAAACAATAGTTTCGAGTCAAATGTGGACATTCCTTATTTTAATAGAAATCTTAATATTGAAGAATTCATCGATTGGGTTACCGATATGAAAAAGTTCTTTGAATACATGAAGATCCCTAAAGGATGGAGAGTGAGGCTAATTGCATGTAGGTTAAAAAGGGGAGCTTTTGCTTGCTAAGAAAGGTTGGAGGCCAAGAGGAATTGTGAGGGGGAAGCATAATTCAAGACTTGTTAACGAATGAAACAACTTCGATGAGGGATTTTTCCTCTCGATTATAAAAAAATTCTTTTCCAACAATATCTAAGGTGCCCATTAGAGTTAGAAGACAATGTATGAATACACTCGTTGACTTTATGAGATTAGTCAAAAGGAAAGACTTGAGGGAGATCGAAGGGTGGCAGAGTTGCTAGGCACTTGAAAGACTCGAAACCGACCATCAAAGATAAAATAGGGGTGTGGGGTGATGAGAAGTCTATCCGAGGCTTAAAATATAGCACCGAAGGCTGAACTAATGTCGTAACAAAAAGGAAGACCGGATTATCTTATAGAAGTTATAGTGGAGATAATTATAGAATCTTTAGTGACAAGAACAAGATTGTACAAAATGCCCCCGCAGTAATGAGAAGCTTAGAGAAGATAAAGCCATGATAAAATAAAAGGTTATACAGGAGAAATGAGGTCGGAGGGCCATGAACCTCTATGCTATGCTAATCATAGGTAAGTGTTTTAAATGTAACCAACTTAGACATAGGTCCAATGATTGTCCTCTCGGAAAGGTTGTACATGTGGTGGAGCGAGATGAAGAAGATGGTGAAATATGTTATGAACCAAATTGAGAGGATAATAAATATAAGGAGGATGATGAATGTCAAATCTATGTAAGGAAAAGAATGATGTTGACACCAAATTTAGATGATAACACTCAACGCTAACAATGATTTCAAACCAAATGAACGATTAGCAACCATATATTGATGTGGTCAAAAGTTTGGAGATGAAAGTAAAGGAACACCCTAATCTTTATTTAATCGAGTGGATTATGCAAGAAAGAAATTTTAGGTATCCAAATGGTGTAAGGTTAGAGATGAAAGAAGAGGAACACCCTAATCCTTATTTAATAGAGATGAAGTGTTCTTTGATGTAGTAGACATGGATGCCTACCATTTATTATTTGGCAAACCGTGATAGTTTGATATTGCAGCGTAACATGATGGGAGATAAAATATGTACAAAATTGAAAAATAAGGTAAAAGCTTTATCTAATACCTATGAAAGGGAGTTCCGGATCAAAAAATTTCCAAAATGGATAGATAGACTCTTTTTACACTCATACATTCAATACAAGAGATGAAGTTTACGATAAAGGAGTCCAAAAAGATCCATATGGTAACTTTGAAACAAGTTTTAATCATTAGTCGTGAAGAAAAAATCGTGAGGTACCTAAGACCATTAAATCATTGTTAGAAGAATTTAAAAGGGTCATTCCGAAAGACTTACCAAAAGATTTACCTCTTATGAGGGACATTCAACATCATATTGATTTGGTTCCCGGTGCTACCTTACAAATTTACCTTATTACAAGATGAGTCCAAAGGAGAGTATAATTTTGAAAGAAATGGTTAAAGAATTATTATGAAAGGGAAAAATCCAAGAAAACATGAGCCTTTGTGCAGGACCCGCCTCATTGACTCCAAAGAAGGATGAGAGTTACGGGATGGGTATCGATAGTTAAGCTATTATCAAAATTACCTTGGGGTACAAGTTTTCAATTCCTAGACTAGATGTTATGCTTGACATTCAGTATGGCACTAAGGTGTTTTTGAAAACCGATCTTCGAAATGGGTACCACCAAATTCGAACAAGCTTAGGGATGAATGGAAAACCACACTTAAGGCCAAAGATGACTACATGAATGGCTTGTGATGCCATTCGGATCAACCAATGTCTACGCACCTTTACGAGGGTCATAAATCGGATACTAAAACCTTTCATTGGTAAATTTATGGTAGTTTACTTTGATAATATCCTTATTTATGGTCGGTCAAAAAGAAGCATACCATAGAATTGCAAAAAGTTTAAATAGTATTATAAGAGAATAAGTTATATGCTAATTTGAAGAAGTGCAGCTTTATGACAAGTAAGTTGTTATTCTTAGGTTGTATAGTGGGTAAAGATGGCATTCAAGTGGATGAACATAAGCTCCAAGCTATTAGAGAATGGCCTACTCCTAAAACAAGTAAATGATGTTAAAAGTTTCCATAGGTTAGCAACTTCCCATAAATGATTCATTAGGAATTTCAACCACATTTAAAACACTTATCGGAAAGTGTCTAAAGAAGGGGAAATTTGAATGGGGAGAGGAGGTTGCCAACAATTTTGCTATTTTGAAGCAAATTTTGTACTACCCCATCCTATTATTAGTAGACTTTGAGGTATTGTTTGAAGTTGAAAATGATGCTAGTGGGATAGGAATAGGTGTTGTCCTTTCTCAAAAGAAAAGACTTGTAGCTTATTTTAGTGAAAAGCTTAGTGATGTCGGGTAAAAGTGATTTACATACGATAAAGAATTCTATTATATTGTGTATGCTATAAAAAATGGGAGCATTATTTGATTGGTATGGAGTTTGTCTTGTATACAAATCATGATGGTCTAAAGTATCTAAATAGTCGAGGTAAATTGGTAGGGATATGCATGCGAGGTGGTCCCAATTCTCGCAAAAATTCACATTCTCATTAAATTATAAGGCATGAGTATACAATAAGATGGCCGATGCCTTAAGTAGAAATGCTGAACCGATAAGAACTATGAGAAAAGAGGTTATGGGATTTTAAGAAATTAAAGGTTTGTATGGAATAGATGACAACTTCTATAGCTTGTAGGAGAGGTGTATTACAAACTAGATTGTTAAAGGCTTTCATATCCATTGTCACTACCCGATGTTTATTGGGGATTTCCAAAAATAATAAGTTGAAATTTTTTTTATTTAGGAATGTGAGTTAAAATAAGTTTTTGGAGTTGTCAACTAATATTAAAGCAACTAGGAGCCTAATATTGACACCGATTTAGAGATTTTATGGCAAGAAGTTGGTTATACCTTTAAGAAGATATCGATCACCCAAGGCATTTTTTTTTAGGAAAGTTACGCCGTATGCTTCTCCTAAAAGCCTATCTCCTAAAAGTCTTATTTTACCAAAATATTTTTGAGTCAATTTTCAAGTTTATCATCTAAATAAATTAATTTTTTATTTTTATTAGTGACATCATATTGAATCGATCATCGGATCCCGATGTCGGGAGTCTCATTAACCTAATATCGGATCCGAGTTTAAGTCTCGATATAACTGGTATATCGGAGAATAACTTAATTACTAAAATGTGATTGAATTTGAATTAACATCAAGTCCCTATTAGATAGGAGAATTATTAAAATTACTAAAAATGCTTTCTTTCGTTTTTATTCTTTTCATGTTTGATTTTGAGCTATGCAAGGAAAACATTATCAAAATTACTCTTTTTTTACTGCATCATATTAAATTAACGTTGGGCCTCAAAATTTGTGAGTCTTATCAATTGAGCATCATATCTAAATTAAAGTCTTGACACGATTGGCATGTCAAGGAATGACGTAATTAACAAAAAGTATTTACGTGAAATGCTCGAATAAAATCGACCCTACTTAACTCATTATTTTTTTTGGCATTTTTAATGCTTAAAAAATATATCAAACCACCATCCATCCTTAATAAATTAGATTGGTTTGATATCACAATCGATTCAACTCTATACATTAAGATAAATTTCACATCTTAAATATTTCTAAGTTTTCTAATACAAAAAAATTAACATTATTATAAAATAACATCATAAAGTAATGAAAATAAATAGGTAAGAGAAATAAACCAAATGGTCACTAAAGATTGATGAAAATGCCCATTATGATGATGCTGAAAAATGACCAAAATGCCCGAGGGGTAAAATTACCAAAATGCTCTCGGTATGTGTATTACATGTGTTGTCGCTATCTAGCCATTATTGGTGGTTGCTTCGGTCGGTCCAAGTGTATGGAAGGGTTTGTAGGGTAGAGGGAGGCTCGCTCTACTTGTCCGTAAAGGTGGAACAAATTGCCGTTGAAGGAAGAAGGAGATCGACGCTGCTGAAGTTTTGGTCAAATTTCTCTCTTTTTCTCTCTTCAATTCTAGTGAGGATACTTGATTTTAAAGCTCCAAACCCAACCAAAGATTTTCTTAGGACATGTTAGAGCATTTCTTTAGCCTTAAAACATGTTAATTTGATCAAAAAATGATGATTGAACCGGCTCGACCGACTCTCCTCCTCTTCAATTCGATTAATTTTGGTAATGTTTTTCCCAAGGTTTCAAAAGGAAAATGCTTCTAAGATGGTGAGAGACACTTCTATGGTGGTGGAGGTTGTTGGTTTGGTAAAAAATAATGATAATAACGAGTACATAATTGGGTCGAGTTGTTGACCTTCTCTCATCGATTCGTCCGATATTTTTTTTTCTAACTAGTTGGGAATGGTGGATCTAGTAGTAGGTTATAGATTTGTGGTGGTGGATCGAAACTATTTTAGTAGAAGGATGGCCAATTCGAGTGAGGAATACCGATAGGTCTATGAGTTGACCCACGGGCGATCTAGCGTGGCGACCCTCTTTTAGGGACTACTTGGCTGATTCCTCCCCCCCCTTTTTTTTTCTTCTCTTGGGATTCATGTCTTGCAAAAAAAAAAAAAAAAAAAAAAAAAAAAAAAAAATAAAATTAGAGAAATGATGAAAATTAAAATTTCTATATTTTGGTTATTATTATTTTTTTTTTATGGGTAGAGGTGATGGGTATTTGTGGTTATGTTGTTTTGTGACAGGTGAATAATGGAGGTTAGATTGTTTTCGTTGGAGATGTGTGATGGAGGCTAGGATTTTTGGGATCGGAAAATAATTGTGGAGAGTCCCTCTAAATATGAAGGAAAAGGTGTTTATACAGGAAATTTTTAGGATAAAGCCAGTTTAGGTCATGTAGATTATTTTTCTTAATTTCAATGTATGTTTGATTACTTTTTTCTTCAATTAGCTTCTTAATTGAAATTGTTTAATCCCTATTCTCTTGATTTCTTTTAATTTTGCATTGATTAATTTTCAATCAAGTTTCTTGATCTTTATCCCTTTCTAATTACATTCTTAATTGAATATCACTTGGTCCTCGTTTTTCATATAATTTTTGATTGGATCCAAAATCATCTTCTCAATTTTTTTTTTCATTCTTTTCTTCTTCTTTTTTCTTTTCTTTTTTTTCTTTTTAAATTAAAATGGGGAATAAATCTGAAAAATTAAAATCCTATAAAAGTATAAAGATTGTCTAAAATCATGAAAAAGACAAACTGTGCAACATTTCATTTTTTTTATTTTTGAATTTCCCTTTTTTTTTTTTTTTGGTATGAAAATAAATGAGAGGTCAAAAATGGGTTGTGACATCCATAATGGCTTTCTCATCAGAGGGAATCAGCTTTGCATTCCTGAAACTTCATTAAGGGAAAAACTAATTTGTGATCTATATGAGGGAGGTCTCGCGGGACATTTAGGCTGTGACAACCATTGCTGCTATAGGGAAGAGATTCTTTTGGACACATTTGCAAAGGGACGTGTCAATAATTATGTAAATATGTTATACATGTCAAACCGCAAAGAGTCAGTCCCAAAGTATTTGGTTGTACATGCCTTTACTTGTTCTAGAGAATATTTGGGAAAACCTCACCACAGATTTTGTACTTAGTTTACCTCAAACACAAAGAGGTATGGATTCAGTTGTTGTGATTGTTGACTGATTCTAAAAATGGCATATTTTATCCCCTGCAAGAAGAATTCAGATGCCCACAGGGTATCTAAGTTATTTTTCAAAGAAGCAGCACGTCTGCATAGGGTACCTAAGACCATTACTTCCGACAAGAAGAACAAGTTTTTTTTGACATTTGGGAGGACATTGTGGAAGCTATTTGATTCCTCACTCAATTTCAGCAGCAAAGCTCACCCACAAATGGATGGGCAAACTGAATCGGTAAACAGAACCCTCAGTAGTTTAGTTCATAGCCTTTTTGGGAATAGACCAAAACAGTGGGATTGGGCATTAGCACAAACAGAGTTTGCTTACAATAGTGTATTTCATAGTGCTACGAGAAAGTCCCCATTTTCTATTCTATACATTTCACCACCACATCATGCTCTTGATTTGATCAAGCTTCCTCGCAGCTTAGAGTTAATAAAGCTACAAAAAACATTGCTGATCAATGGCAAGCTGTTCAAATAGAGGTACGATAGAAATTAGAGAGAGATAATATCAGTATAAAAAAGCATCTGATCAACATCGTCGAAAGTAGATCTTTGAAGTTGGCGATCAGGTGATGGTATTTCTGTGCAAAAAGAGGTTTCCAGTAGGTACTTACAGCAAGCTGCAACCTAAGAAACATGGCCCTTATATGGTGTTGAAGAAAATAAGCGATAATGCATATGCCGTGGACCTGCCAAGCTCAATGGGCATTTCTAAAACATTCAATATGGCAGACCTTTATCCCTTCTACTCTTTAAAGGAACCATTATATCTAGATGCATAAGATAACATAAGGTCGAGTTCTTCTCAAATGGAGGCAACTAACGAGGGTGTTAGAATGTGAGCCACCTAGAGTCCATGAATAAGAGGGAGACTTAAGATTGCAGTACTTAGTTCTTAGTTTTCGTACTTATCTTGAATTTTATTTATTCTTTGAAAGTCTTTTAGGGTAACATGTTGTCTACCATTTATGCTACGAATTGAAAAAACTCTAGGTAAATTTTGCAATACTTATATACAGACTTATTTACAAAATTTGGGTTCTCTATATCCTCTGTTTCTAGTTACAAAACAGGGGTTAACAGAGGCTAGTGTATTTTGTTATTCAATTTTACTAAGCTTCATGCAGAAGTTTTATCTTGCTTACCCGCTGCGTCATGGATATCTGTATATAGTGATTGGTTGGTAGAATTGCAAGAATAATACAAATCGTTGCTGATTTTTCTATAATGAACTATAAAAAATATAATTTAACAAAAAACAATAAACTTCAATTATGCAGATTTTGAAGTTGTGTTTGCTTTGATTTTGCAATTTCAGAGAGATTAGTTTAATAATGGCAATGAAGTTGTTCGTTGAAAAACTAACTCTTTTAATTTTTCCTTTCCTTCTTTTCATTTATTTTTTGTCATGTATGTTCATTTGGACAAGATTGATGTCGCTTCGGCCAACTTTTTTGATGAAGAAGGCTGAGGTTGTGGCAAGATTGAAGAGTGGACCAAAATCTGAGTGAGGGGCTCAAGTGGCTACAGATTCTTCCAAAATTGCTAGTTCTTTAGGATTCCCCAAAGCAAAAAGTCTCGGCTAAATCGATCAAAATTTATCCAATCTTTTAGTTCATTTGAAAACAAATGTTTAAACCTTTAATTTCATGTTTGACTTCTCTTAAAATTTATTTATTTATTTTAAATATTTAATCCTTTTTTTTTTTTTTTCATCCATCACCTTCTCTACAAACTTCAATTCTTGATGTTTTTAGTTGAAATTTTAGTTACACATTGAGAAAAATGTAATATATTTTTGAAAAAATTGCAAAAATTTTCAAAATCGATAAGTATATTTGTTTATTTTCTAAACATTAAAAATATAGAAAATCAGAAAAAATAATAATCGAGAGCCCTAGATAAAATTTTAGTGAATAATTTTCATTAAAGACTATTTATGTGACCATTATTTTTAACAAAAAAAAAAAAATCAAGGAAGGTCAAATCTTAAATTAAAAATTCAAAGACTATTTTTCAAATAAGTTAAAATTATGAAAAAATTTGATCCATTTAGCGCCCCCCTCCGAAAAAAAAAAAAAAAAACAATCTTTGAAACAGTTTTTTGCTAATTCTCTATTCTTGTAAATTTTATCTTTAATTTCAGATATTTCTTTGTCTTTTGCTAAGTTTAATTTGAAGTGGTTAATTAGAATCCTAATCAGCAGACATGTAGCTTTGTAATAATATTTGTAAGTGTTAATTGTATTTATAAATATTTCTTGTTTTTTTGGATTTTGTTTTTTGGATTATTTTTGTTAATTGATGTGATGGGGCTTTATAATGATTTAGATGAATTTTGAAAGATTAATGCTATCATTATATAATTAGTTTACATAACTCATCTATGAAGGTATAACAACCATTACAGTTGTACGAATTGTTAACGAAATCCAGTTTCATGTACGAAATACTCATTCAATGTTCTTTTTTTCTTTAATAAGCGAATTTTGTTAGATAATTATATAAAAATAACATTACTCATTTTTAAAAGCTAGAATATAAAATAAAAAAAGAAAATATGAAAGTTCGAATTTCAAAAATTTGGAATTTTTTTATTTTGAAAGAAAAGAATTTCGCGGCATGCAAAAATAGTTCCCTAAGTGAAATTCCACGACAGCGTATAAGGGTGATGGTAACACGATCCCTACTAAAACTCGTGATTTTTTTGGTACATGAATCTAAAAGTATTTGTCATGTGGAGGATCTTGCACCTCACGTGTATGACTTGTCATCTATCAACCTTTTTTATCTTTCTTTTTTCGGAAAATAAAATCACGAATTGTGTCTTTCTTATCAGACACAAAATAATTTAGACACGTTCCATGTTAGTATTTTTTTTCTTAAAAAACTTTTATTTTCTCTAATTTCACTCTTTGTTCCAATTGATTCTGTTTTGTTTTCTCCTATTTGAACTAGGGCTTGCTTTATATTCTCTATTACCACAATGTTTAAGAAGATATATAGTTGCATACTTTCTCACAATTTATGGCTTCTTTGTGTTTATTCTCCATATTAAGAATTTGTATAAAATTCCACACTTCAAGTTCCTAGATGATTTTACAGTGCAATCTAAAGTAGAGTTCATACTAAACCGGATTGGATCGGAGAGATTTCTTCATTTTTCTTTTTATCTATATTCGATCAATAAAACTTATATTCATTATCTATCTTTCTACTCAATTCGATTGAGTCCGGTTGAGTCGGGTTAATTGGAGGATTTTGTCCACCAATTTGGTACCTTCACTAGCCTAATTTTTAATATATATATATATATAATTGAAATTTTTATAGAATCACGGATTATAAAAAATTCAAGCCTAAAATATAAATCACCAATGATGGATCCATAATATTTTGTTAATGGGGCAAAGTGTAATATGGTTTCCAACATTAAAAAGAAATGGCAAAATAATATCTATTCTAACTCATTGGAAATCCACTCTGGATAGTATTTTATTGATGAGTTATTAAATTATTATTTTGCTTGAATAGTTCCAACAATAATTTTCATTTGTTCTTTTGTTTTTCTTCCAAAGATAATTTCATCTCTTGTATTAAGTGGAAATGTTGGGATCTTCCAAATGATTACAGACCCAACTAAAAAAGGTTCAAAATTGTCGAACGAGTGACAATTTATAAGAGCTTTCTGTGCTACATTATGAGCAGGCCAATTACAGGTACGAAAAACAAAAAAAAAAAAAAAAAAAAAACTGATGATCGAGAGGTGATTCTTCGAGTGCCTCCTGAATGATGGTACGGGCCTCACTGATATTGAGTAGGCAGGACTTGGCAGTTTTGATCAGTAATTTTGCATCCCCTTCAACTATCACATGTTGGTGAAACGAAGGTGTTAGGAGGACGACCTCTTTGAATGCCAATCCAGATTATTGAAGATGAAGTCATTGCGAACTTTCCACAATCTTCGACATATAAAACAACCAAGTGAAATGAGGGATAGTAGGCCATGCCGCTAGTTAATGACTGGTGACCAAGGCTTTCCACCAGTGTGAGAAAGAAGTGAGAGATAAGACATCAGCACGGAGGTGAAATGGAGACAAAAGCCACACCTGTCTTGCCTTTGGACAGTTGGCAAAAAGATGAAGCTGAGATTCATCCTCGTCTGCCACAAATATTGCATTAAGCTGGCATGGCAGGAATTCAAAGGTGCATATTAGAGTTGACAGGTAGAGTATAGCAGTGAGCGGTCCAAACAAATGATTTGAGTTTACTGGGACTAGAGCGTCCATGTTTGTGTCTATCATCCTTAATTAGAGTGGTGCCTAAGAAATCGATCCTGTGTGCAGCCTTCTGCAATTAGAATTCTAAGTATTGACCTCGCAATTCGTTCTTGTCTACTTGTAATA